TATAGCAGTAAGTGCCATACTTAATGATGAACGAGGTCTTTTCCTGATCTTCCAGGTTCATCTGTATTTGGTTGTACACGAAATACGCATCGAAAAAACTGAAGATCTTGTGGCTGGCCGTGGCATCGATCATATGATCGATATTAGGCAAAGAAAAAGAATCCTCGGGGCATGCGTTATTTAGATCTTTGTAATCTACACACACTCTAAGTGTGTTTCCCTTCTTAGGGACTACTACTACGTTTGCTAACCATTCGGGATATTTTACTTCCCGAATGGATCCTATTTTAAGAAGTTTGGTTACCTCGTCTTTGATGAAAACATGTTTGACCTCGGACTGGGTCTTTTTTTTGCTTCACCGGATGAAACTTCGGATCCAGGCTTAGTTTTATGAGTGGTGATTTCTGGTGGGATCCCTGTCATATCGAGATGGGATCAAGAAAAGAAATTCATGTTAGTTTTAAGGAATTGAATAAGTTTTCCCCTGAGCTCGGGAGCTAGCCCCGTGCCTATGTATATCTTTCGTTCGGGCTGATGTTCAGTCAGTGTGATTTGTTCCAGCTCTTCGACCGTCGACTTGGTGGCGTCAGAATCATCGGGGACTATTAAGGATCGAGGGACCCCATAGTCATCATCATCGTCAGTCCCCTGCTTTTCTGATTGGGTTGAGGCCGGTGTTTGTGGTTGCTATTTGGCCTTCTATTTTCCTTTCGAGTTTAACCCTTTCGTTGATGAGTGTTGATATTGGTATCACTTTGTCGACGACAAACATTTCCTTGGTGGCGGGTTGTTCCCCGTAGACTGTTTTGACTCCCTCTGGTGTTGGGAACTTTAGAACCTGGTGACGGATCGAGGGCACTGCCCTCATGTTGTTGATCCACAGCCTCTCGAATAAGGCATTATACCTCATATCGCCCTCGATCACATGGAACTTTGTATCTTGGATGATCCCAGCCATGTTCACTGGCAAAGTTATCTCGCCTTTGGTGGTTTCACATGCCATGTTGAAGTTGTTTAGTACTCGGGTCGCGGGCACAACCTGATCCTGTAGGCCGAGTTATTCTATGACCCTCGATCGAACGATGTTGGCCAAGCTACCTGGATCAATTAAAACACGTTTAACTTGAGTCTTATTCATAAGTACATTTATTACCAGAGCATCGTTATGGGGTTGCACGATCCCTTCTGCATCCTCATCGTTGAAAGACAAGGTGCCTTCTGGCACGTAATCCCGAGTTCGCTTCTCCCTTGTGATCGACACTTTGGTGCGTTTTAATACTTGTCCTTGAGGAATATCGACCCCTCCAACAATCATGTGAATTACGTGTTGTGGCTCTTCTTGCTCATTCTCTCTATTTGAATCTCTATTTTTTAAGTGATTCTTGGCCCGATCGCTTAAGAATTCCCGAAGGTGTCCCTCGTTGAACAACCGGGCTACTTCCTCCCTTAGATGTATGCAATCTTCTGTTCTATGGCAATGGGTTCCATGGTATTGCACATTTGGTTGGGATTTCTCTCGGCTAGATCGGTCTGTAGAGGTCGAGGCCATCTAGTATCTTTGATACGTCCGATGGCTGATACGATAGTGGATGCATCAATGTTGAAGTTGTATTCTGAAAGTCGTGGTGCTTCTTTGGGCTCGAAATTCCTGTCGAAACCCTTCTTGCCCATGAGCCCTCGAGAGGACTGACCTCGATCATTTCTCCTTTCACCTCGAATGGGGTTGCGTCCATGTCCGTTGTTTCTTCGATCTCCATTATATGGATGGTAACGATCCCTGTTTGACCGTGGTTCCGGGCCGATATCCCTTTTGACTCTGTCGACGGGCTTGATAGGATAAACAAACCCGGAAGGAGTCCCTAGCTGGTCGTCTTCGACCCTAATCCTCGACTGATACCGATTATACACATCGGCCCAGGTAATAGCTGGGTATTCGATCAAGTTCTGCTTTAATTGATATGAAGCCACCAAGCTTCGTACGTTTAATCCTTGAGTGAAGGCCTGAACGACCCAATCATTGGCGAACGGTGATAGATCCATACGTTCCATTTGGAACCGAGACACAATCTCTCTGAGCATCTCGTTATCTTTCCGCTTTACCTTGAAGAGGTCCGACTTCCTAGTCTCGACCTTTATAGCTCTGGCGTGTGCTTTAACGAAGGAATCTGCAAGCATGGCAAAAAAATCAATGGAGTTGGGTGGCAAATTATGGTACCATATCATTGCTCCCTTTGACATGGTCTCCACGAATTTCTTCAATAATACGGACTCGATCTCATCGTCCTCCAGATCATTCCTCTTAATCGCACATGTGTAAGAAGTGACATGCTCGTTAGGGTCGGTCGTTCCATTATACTTGGGAATTTATGGCATGCAAAACTTCTTGGGAATTGGTTTAGGATCCGCGCTCGGGGGGAAAGGATTTTGCACGAACTTCTTTGAATTCAAACCCTTCAAAATGGGTGGTACCCCCGGAATTTGATCAACCCTGGAGTTATAGGTTTTCACCTTCTTGTCATTTGCTTCAATTTTCTTCTCCCCCAATTCAACTCGCTTTGTCAGCTCCTCGAGAATCTTCATGATTACGGGGTTGGTCCCTGATTCATTTCTGTTTGATCTTTTTGACACCGATTCGGCCCTATGAACAACTTCTGTGATGGCTCGGGCTCGACCCTGCTCAGTGCATGGTTCTGGTTTTGGAGTTGTGCTATTGCAGCTTGTTGAGCCTGCAACATTTCGAATATCCCGCCTTCTTCGCTGCCCTGTGTGCTCTGACCGGCTGATCGAACGTCTCTGCGGATGCTACTCTCGGGGTCGACGGAAAATTTTGCATTAATGGCAACATGGGAACTGACGTCGGTTGGGTCTACGACCAGGACTCCATCGAGGTCAACTGGAGGTACTTCGTTCCCTGGGGCGGCTATGTTGTCGTTTTCACCGTGGAAACCAAGTCCATTGTCTATATGTGTGGGTGTTGCTTAAGAGTTTGACATGTTGATCATGGAATCAAAGATACTCACAAGAACAAGTATAAATAACGTGTGTTACGAAAGTTAGCACTAGGCAATCACTATTATCCTTAGCCCCACGGTGGGCGCCAAACTGTTTACTCTAAAAATGGATAACAATTGAATTTATATGTGGTTTTAAGGACACGTGATTTTACTTGGCACAAACTGAGAAAATATACAAATTGATATTGAAATTGACTATAAAGAAAAATAAAAGCAAACCAAATGAGATGTGCACCTTTGGCCCTCGAGCAAGTTACTCTCGAACCAAATGAAATAGCAAATGAGATATGAACAGAGTAACATAGTATTGAGAACTTAAAGAAAAAGTAGTATATTGCTTTGTATTGCGTGAATATGATGCCTTTACAAATGATTAGACCCCCTTTATATAGCAGGGGAGTCCTACTTATGGTACAACTCTAAATACAGTAACAAATCCCATGATTGGCTAATTAATCGACCTCATCTTGATACGTGCCGAGATTTTCATCGCGATCCTTGCTCGATTAAGCATATTTCGGCTTACCGTTACTTGACAAGGTAAACTTCCATCGGTCTCGCTCGATCTCTGTTCTGCTTGATCTCGATCTTGGCTGATCTCGCCCTTGATCGGTTTCTGAATTACGGGCTCATCAATCTAACTTCGCACTGAGGCTCGATATAACACGAGGCCGAACCGTGGCCTATCATGATCCAACTTCGATTAGTCATAAAAAGGACAAGCTCGTTGTGACTGTATTCAAGCCTGTTTGGAAAGCTACCTAGGAATTGAATTTAGGTATAATTGGGTGTAATTACACAGTTTTGCACGTTTGTTTGGCCATGTAATTATTTGGTTAACATGGAATTGAGTGTAATTGGAAATGTGTAATTACATTCTCCAATTCTCAAGGGGGAGGTGAGAATTGGTGGTACACTGTGTAATTACAAAGTTACTTTTAATTTCTTTCCTTTTGTTTTTTATTTAAATTAATTTTTTATAACTTTTTATTTCCATTATTTTATTTTTTTATTTTATTTTTACCTTTTAATTTTAAAAATATACTTTCTTTGTACATTATTTATCTTTTAGTTCTCTATCTTTACTTCTTGTGATTCCATGTAATTGCTCGTATATTTTATTTCTTATTCGTTTTATTTTCTTCATTTAGCGTAATTGCTTTATTATTCTAGTTTTTGAAACTATACCCCCTAATATTAGAATTAATGAGTCATTAACAAACTTGGCATATAGTGAGTGATGCCATTAAAGTATAATTTCGTTGTTAAATGAGGCTATAAACTTATTATATTTCCTAATCTTAAGTTATTTATTTTATGGCCTAATCTTATTATGTTATTTTTTTTTGTTATAATTGATATATTAGTTTTGTCAAACATTTGCACAATGTTATGATACTATATTTATAAATATTAATTTATTTTATCAAACATGCATTCCATGATGTCCTTACAAACCGTATGTTTTTAGTTTTTATAATTAATTAAACTAAATATTATTAATTTGAAAAATATATATCAATTATTTTTACAATATTAGTTATAAATATATGATTACTAATTATTGTATATTCAAGAAAAAATATGGATCTTAAATACCAAATCTAATAGTATTATTTATACTTATAAAAAATTATTTATAGGTATAATTTTTATTATATTAACTTTTAAGTTTTGATAATTACTTCATTTAAAATTTAATCTAATTGTGTAATTACACTTGTGCAACCAAACAGTACGCTTGTAATTACACTATAATTACATTATGACAAACAAACAGGTCATTGTAATTACTACCCTAATAATTACATTAATTTCAATTATCGGACGGCTTTCCAAACATACCCTAAATGTATTTACTTACAGTTCTCATTAAATCTAATAATTAGAATGCAATATATCCCAAACACGAGTGACCATTTTTGTCATTTTGTCTAAAATTTGTAGAAGAAAACCCGCCCAAATGCGCTTCCATTACACAGCTTACAAAGCAAGCTTCACCTTTTAGTTTGGCGGTTCGGCACGCTTTTGAAATATTTCCATTCGTCCCCCCAAATTCGCCCCAATTCTTCTTCTCTTTCAACCCAACAAAGACTCATCTGTATCTCAGTAGCATCAAGAGAAAAGAAGCAATGGAGCAGCAGCAAAGGAATCAGAAGACGATGCAGCAAGAGCAGAACGAGGAAGGCGATGATGTTCAACATGGCCCTTTCCCTGTTGAGCAACTTCAGGTCTCAAACCCCTTCACCCCCATTTCTGATTCCCCCCTTTTCATTCTTGTATTTAGGGATTATTGCTGCTTCGCTCTTGGTCCTACATCATTCTTAGACTAAGCTAATAATATTTTCCTAAACCCATTTTCCCGTTTCTCTAAGCCAAGATCTTGAAAGTGGCTTTATTTTTTTGTTTTGCCCAATTGGGGGTAGTCATTCTTATGTTAAATTAATGATTGTTTATGGCTTCAGACTCGACATTGTAGCTGGGTTTTATCTTGAATCTTGAATTGTGCTTCTTTGTGGCTGAATTTCATGAAACGGGAATTTTTCTTCTTTGTGGTTGAATCTTACCCGACCCGGTTCTTTTCAACCCTAGGGAAATAATTTTTTGGGCATTCCCAGTTTCTGAATTCTTGGAATCTTGTGTCTGAAATGGGTTTGTGTTTTGATGTGTTCTTGCGGATTATTTCAAGCTAATACTTTTACAGTTGATTCTACCGTTCCTTTATCTATCCTACGCAGTGCCTGAGTTTTGAATCTAAATTTAGTTATCCCATTATAGTAGGTTTAATTTCATGAACGGTCACTCAATTTTCAAATTATTGCGCCAAAGTCACTAAATTATCTTTTGTAAAGAAAAAGTTGCTCAACTTCACCCAAGTGTCATAGAAAGTTACAAACTACTATGTTTCTCTTTTTTTTATTATTTTTTGTAATCAAACATTTCACTCCACTTTGTCTAAGTATCATAAAAGGTCACTAGGAGGATACACTGAAGACCTGGTGACAGTGGACATACTATTATTTAGACAAAGTTGAGTGACTTTTTGAAAATTGCTTATTGACTTTCTGTGGCATAAAAAAAGTTGCTTATTGACTTTCTGTAACACTAGGCAAAGTTGATTGACTTTTTAGTTACAAAAGTTTGTTTAATAAATTTGGTGTGATAAAGTAAAAATTAAGTGAAATGGATTCTCGAAGTCGTACCACTGATCTTGAAAATCTGGATAAATGCTTTCTTTTTCTACAATCAATTTAATTCCTCCCTTGTACGATACTCCATTGGTAGAAATGCTGTTCCAATCTTTTTCGTTGTCAGTAATTAGAATCAGTTCCATAAGAAGATTTTGTAGGTTACAATCGGAGTGTACAGAATTAAGGGCACCGCTAAAACTGATTGTTTAGAGGCACTTGATACAAAATGACTAACATCCTGAGGCATGATATGGTATATGAGCATTGGGGGTTGGCGGTCACTTATTTTGTCTGCATCTGAGTGATGCGATTGACTTTTCAGTTTTGCTTCTTACAAGAATTGATCAGTTTATTTATTTTTGTGAAGAATTTTAAGTCTTGGGTGATGAATATTTATCATAATGGTAATTTAGATAGATACTTATCCAAGAGGTTGTGAGTTCGAGTCACCCCAAGAGCAAGGTGGGGAGTTCTTGGAGAGAGGGAGTCGAGGGTCTATCGGAAACAGACTCTCTACCCCAGGGTAGGCGTAAGGTCTGCGTACACACTACCCTCCCCAGACCCCACTAGTGGGATTATACTGGGTTGTTGTTGTTGTTGTTGTACTTATCACAAATTGCTCATACTGCAGGTTTTAAAAAGATTTACATATAGTTGAATAATATTTCCTGTGGATTTTTACTGCTTCTGGTATTGCATAAAAGCCGGACCAGGCATTTCCTAGAATTTTCTTTGAATTGTTAATATTTAAAAGTCAATATCTTTGCTCTTCTTTTTCCAGTCTAGCTTGTAGTATAGTTGTTTCTGTTGAATGACACCCTGTAAGTTCTTCCAACTTAAAAAGAAAATGGTCCAGTAATTACTGAGGCATATAGCTGTTTTGTCCTCAAGGCATCAGGGATTGCAGCCCTAGACGTGAAAAAACTCAAGGATGCCGGTATATGCACGGTTGAATCTGTTTGTTATGCCCCAAGAAAGGAGCTTCTGCATATAAAAGGAATTAGTGAAGCTAAAGTCGACAAGATAATTGAGGCAGGCATGTTTCTCTTCTTTTAACTTCCATTTCTGCATTTGCTTATGAGTAATCAGTACTAAACCTTTTAATGCTGCATATGAACAGCTTCAAAATTAGTGCCTTTGGGGTTCACTAGTGCCAGCCAACTCCATGCACAGAGGCTTGAAATTATTCAGATAACTTCTGGATCAAAAGAGCTTGACAAGATATTAGAAGGTAGATATCAATTTCTTTTGTGAACTTCTAGACCTGGAATTTGTTCTAGCCTCACAACCTCATGCTTTTTTTCTCATTTGTCAGGAGGAATCGAAACTGGATCCATTACTGAAATTTATGGGGAGTTCCGATCTGGAAAAACTCAGCTGTGTCACACACTGTGTGTCACTTGTCAAGTACGGCGATAATGTTCTTTTATTAGAAAAACCATAAATAAGGTGCTACAAATTGTAATTTGTAACAAACAATATTCATTTAAATATCATTCTTTATCTCTCTTTTTTTTAGCTTCCGTTAGATCAGGGAGGTGGTGAGGGGAAAGCAATGTACATTGATGCTGAAGGTACTTTCAGGCCGCAAAGACTTCTACAAATTGCAGACAGGTCTTCTATTTATAATCTCAACTTACATTTTTTCTTGTATTATAAAGTTCAAACTTTTCGTCATCATTGGTGTTAAATGCTGCAGGTTTGGATTGAATGGTGCTGATGTTCTGGAGAATGTAGCCTATGCTCGAGCTTATAATACTGATCATCAATCAAGGCTTCTGCTGGAAGCAGCTTCAATGATGGTGGAGACCAGGTAAAATTTTATCTAGAAATGCTTATATTTGGTTGCTGCTTTCTAGCTCTGCATGAAGAATGCATAATATGTGCTTGCCTTTTTGCTTTGAAAATGTGGGATAGTAATTTGTTGTAGTTGATAGCTTCCTCTTGGTGTTGCCATAAGGTGAAATTTTCTCCAAATTATGTCGCCCTTCTCTCATTTTTTTCTCTATCTTCTGTGGTTCTGTTGCTTTGGGCGAGAAATTGACTAAATTATAGCTTAGAGAATATTCCAGCTCTTGATCAGTGTATCTTGGAGGGTTCCAGTTTGAAGCAGCTCTCCATTTGTTTGATTTTGGATGTCCGTCCTACATCTAATGCATGTTTAGATTCATCTGTTCGGTCACTTAACAAAAACCCAGTGATTTATCTGTTTGAAGTGTTATAGAATTAACTTACTATGTAAAAGTTAGCCCATTGATAAAAAATTTGCTTCTTTGAAGATCATGCATACTTAATACCTCTATATCTATGGTGTCAATCTGTGAAGTTGTCGCTTTGTCAGTTATTTGAGTTCATATCATCAGGTATAAAAAAAGACCTCTTATATTAGGAGCTTAACTCTTAAACCTGTTTTGATGAGGCAGGTTCGCTCTTATGATTGTGGACAGTGCTACAGCCCTTTATAGGACTGATTTCTCAGGGAGAGGAGAGTTGTCTGCTAGGCAGATGCATCTTGCAAAGTTTCTTAGAAGCCTTCAGAAGTTAGCAGATGAGGTAGTTTAGCATGTCTCCATTTTAGTGGCGGTTAATGTTTCAGAATCAGATGAGAGATTCTTGACTTACTTTTCTGTCAAACCTTTACTTTTATGGTTGCAGTTTGGTGTTGCTGTTGTTATTACTAATCAAGTCGTTGCTCAAGTGGATGGTTCTGCTGTTTTTGCTGGACCTCAAATAAAACCGATTGGTGGCAACATCATGGCACATGCTTCTACAACGAGGTATGCAACTACCAATAGCAGCAGCTTTGCTTGGTAGCTGAAATTTTAACTTAATTCTTTTTTATAACTCCTGACAGACTAGCTCTGCGGAAGGGTAGAGCGGAGGAGCGGATTTGTAAAGTAGTCAGTTCTCCTTGTCTAGCTGAAGCTGAAGCAAGATTTCAAATATCTCCTGAAGGAGTCACTGATGTAAAGGACTAACTGTATACTGCAAATTGTCCATGTACTATTTTTGTTTTCATCATTTTGCAGGTCAATTGACTATCATAAAGTGTGTTGTACGAATTAACGCACTTTTTGTAGAACAATATTCATTCCTTCTACCAAATGTAAATGTAGTTTCCTTTTCAGTCTCTTTACCATCTCATTCCATATGTTCTCATATTTATCTCGCGGAAGAGGGGGAAAGAACCTAAAATAAAAGAAAGGGTACATTCCATCATCCTTAGGGTTGCTCAAAATTGAAGTGAACCGAACCGATGTCTTATTGGTATTGGGTTATCGTTGGTGAACATATTTAAATTTTATAATTAATGACTTAATGGTTTGGTGGTGGATTACTCAATTTTTTTATTGGATAAATCGTTAACCCGTTAAGAATTTTTACATTTACACTTTTATATGGGATCAATAGAAGTTACAGGAGTATTATCAGAAAATAAATCTGTGAAAATATCTTCAAGTTTTGTAGGTGTAAGGGATTCCGATTATATATAAGTTTTCAGTCGAATTTACCAGTTTTTAGTCTTTCCTTTTTTTTGATATGCAATAGGACAACTATGTAACCAAAAGAAATACTTATAATAAGTGCAGTACAAACTATCCGATAATCGTTAATTCGATACCAATACACCATTTGTCCTATTGGATAACTAGCGAATTATTATATTTATAATCCGATAATTGATGAGACAAATCATTAAATGTAATTATCTGCTCGATAAGCATCCTTAATCGTCCTTCCCTTTTTTGGGATGTGTCCATGAATGTCGGAAGAGAATCAAGAAAGGGGAAGTATTTTTTCCTTTTCCTTTAAAGTGATAAATTTGTGAGTTATTGCTTTCTTGTTTCTGAAATTATATTGGAGCATTCACATAGCATTCTTCTCTCTTTCTCCTTTTTGAAATTATATATTAGGAACTTCTTAGACTTGTTGCACTACTTTAGTTTTCATATTTTACTATGGAACTTCCTTCAAGCCTTTTTATGTGAAAAATCTTGAGCTCAACAAAATAATTTAAATTTAATAGTAATAGTATTCAACTTATCTTTGTTATCTTAATAGTATTTTATTTGTATAGATAGTAAAAACATTCGATTACTTAAATTGCTTCTCCAACTTCAAATCACTTCTTTTATTAGTCCCTCCTCGACTCTTCATCCAAATATTGGGTCTACGAGTACTCTTTTTACACTGTAGATGTCTACGATTGAGTAGAATAATGATATTTTAGATTCAAATTCTGAATTCAAGAGAATGCATGTGTTGCTTGTTTGGTCTGAAAAGTGCATCAAATTGACAAGAAATCTTTCCTTTACAATCAAAGCTACGTTGGTAATTTACTTTCAGTGATTAGAAAAATACTGAAAAAAACTGCTAACTTTTTTACTTATTTATTTTTATCTACTGCAAAAACCGTTTTCTGTTTTCTTTTCTACTTATCTATTTTTATCTCCTTCTATTCTTTTGTGATTTTGGATGAATCCAACATACGACAGGATAGACATTTTTTATGTGATTATCTGAAATTTAGAAATTACATTTTTAGTGTGATTATGATTGCTTATTTTTGTGTAAAGATCACATAAAATTTACTTTCAAATTGATGGATGATCGCTATGAAATATACTTATTGATTGGGTCATGTCTATTGATGTTTGGCCAAAATGCTATATTTTTAGTATATTACTCGCCTTACATGTTGTTAGTTCAGTGGTTAATTGTGCGACACTTGAACTAAATTGTGTTGTTTTATACGTCGGAGCATCGGAAGACAAAGATGAGTGAAGGTTGCACAAAAAGAGGACGAAAATACAAGAAAAGAGCACAAAAATACCAAGTACCCAAACAGTGCTACATGCCAAGCATAGCCAGCTTGACTGTGCTACAGCCCAGGCGTAGCCAGCTCCGTAGCCAGGATGACCGTGCTATAACCGGCCTCGCGAGGTCTATAGCATGGTGATCAAAAGTGCGTGGATTAAAAGACTCCGACCCAGATTTGTACTCAAGGACTTCAACCCTAGCCTATAAATACTCCTTAAACATGTCTAAGAAGGGGGGGAGGGGGCGTTTTTGAGAGGGGATTCGACCTAAGGATGCAAGAACACGCTAGGAGCAAGACGGAGAATTCTTCTACGAGTTTTTCACTTCCCTCTTCCTATTTTCATTATTGGTTATGAATTCTAGTATTGTAGTTTGCATACTATCATGAATAGCTAATTCATTATCTAGGGTTTTGATGAAATCTTTTGTAGGATGAATTCTTATAACGTTTTTATATAATTGAGCCATTGGATTTCTCTACTTGTTCAACTACGTGTTTATTGTTGTTGATTGAATGACCATCAATTGACTGTACCTGTTTAGCGTGTATTGCGTGAGAGAGGGTACATATTTAGGTAGTTATTGAACAACAACAATCCTAACGTATGTGAGAGATAAATACGGAGGGTTTAAAGTCGGGATTAGAGATAACGAAAACTTTGTGCGATCGTAGTGAGCGATGAATTAGTGTCATCTAGCGTAGTTCGAGAGAATATGTTTAGTAATTTGTGGTAGTTGCTCGAGAGAGAATTACGACACCCGAAGTACTCACGATCGATAGAGAATACTTAGGCAAAATTATAAAAAAACGTAGCAGGAAGGATTCCGACAATTGGGAAAATCATAACTCTAGACCTCCTTAATATTTTCTCCAACCCTTAGTATCTTTAGTTGTTAGTTTACTACTTTAATTTGTTAGTTAATTAGATATAAGAATCTTAATATTTATAACTTAGGAATTGTTCGAGCTTGTCTTCTTAGTGATAGGGAACATTTGTAGTTAAACCTTAGTTCTCTGTGGGATTCGACTTCGGACTCTTAGATCGGATTATATTTGCAGCGACCGCTTATTCTTTTTGGCGCGATCATCTATACTTGATATTGTTTTATATTTTGAGATCATGAGAACAAATGATGTCTATATTTTAAAGGCAGATAACCTTTTGTAGGTTTGATGTTTCTTACGTAAAAGATAATATGAGCTCGTTGGGATTAGCTGTTTGTGAATAGCTGATAAGCTTGAAGTGCGGAAAATCTTTTTTTAAGTGCTGAAATTAGTTTTTAAAATAAGCATTTATATATTTGGATAAAAGTATTGAAATTGATAATAAGCAGCTGATTTGTTTGATAAAATAGTGCTGATAGGCTCTTTTTTTTTGGTTAAAAGCACTAATATACCCTTGAATCTTTTTTAAAGATAATAAATTAAAAAAATTCTTTGTAAAGAAAAGAATTGACAACGAATATGGAATGAAGATAAAGTCAGAAAATTTATTTTGGAAAAAGTAATTTATAAATTAAAAAATATTATTAAGGATAAACCAGTAAAAGTGTTGGTCAAACTAAAAATGTTTATAAGTTAAAAAGCCATAAGTTGGGGATGACCACCTTATGACTTATGGCTGATTTTAGCTTATAAGAATTTTGGGTATTTACCAAATACGTAGATAAACCAAAAGGTGTTTACAAGCCAGTTTGACCAGCTTGTAATCTTAGCCAAACACCCTTTGTATCATTTGAATGGTTGATTATAACTTTGAATTTCCATATGTATTATGAAAATACAATTGAAATATTTAAAATGTGGGATGTTTGGCTTATGATTAATAATTTATTTAAATAATGTATTTTTCAAACTCTATAAATCAATTTCTAAATGAATATTGAAATTGATGAACCTGCCAATTAAACAGTTAGTTTATGTGCCTTTGAAGAAAGATTTTGTTCTTTCACATGAAATTTTGTTAATTGAGAAGTTGTGACATTTCATAAAAAAATTGTTTACACTAAAATGTGTAGCGAAAATAAAGCATACTTAGTTTTGACTCTATAGAAGATTTAAATAGTTACTAACAAGAAGATGATTTCAACTTCTTCCCCGTGACAACGATGGATATCCTTTTAAACTTGTTTAAAACAACTTTTCATGTATTTATATTTGGCAATGATAATGGAGTACATGGTCAAACAATCCCAAATATTCGATTGTGTTTACAATATCGTTGCCCTTTCAAGATCAATATCGACAACAAGAGTCTTGATCATGACAGAGCAATCTAAACAGATGAAACGAACATACAACGAAAGTAGTAAATGTAAGAAAGTATTAGGCGAGATACACTTTATTATTTGTTTGAACCTAATAAAATCAAAATAAGTAAAAGAAATTCATATTCAATCAACTTTATTTTCAGTCAATCAACAAACAAATTATCACGATCTAAATTGATCACTCATACAAACTTGTACTTTATTTATTTATATATATTTATCTCTCAAAGCTTTATTTTAAAAAATGTTAGATATAATTTTGCAACACAATGTACTATAAAATTTGACATACACGGGCAACGAAACTAGTATTCTAAAAATATGTATGTTAATTATAAAATAGAAATTAAAGCATAAAAGGGGTTCAAGCTCCACAAATGATGCATGTTAGAATTTTGATTTCCATTTTAAATTTTATTTACTCTTTTTCTTTAAGGTAAAAAGAAAAAAAATAGTAACGTTAAAGACATTCATAGCTAAAGTATAATTATGAGAAGGAAAAAAAGAGAGTAAAATAGTATGATCCAAAATTGTGATGAAACAGGTGGTTGACCCATCAATTCAGCTAAAATTTTACTTGTTTTTCTTCTAATTTGTGATAAACTAGCTATGAGGAAGGGTAGAACAGAGGAGCGAATTTATAAAATAGTCAGGCCTCCATGTTTAGCTGAATGTGAAGCAAAATCTTAAATTTTTCATGAAGGGATAAAAGACAAACTCTGATTAGTAGTCTGCTATTTTGTTTTCTAATTAGATTACAGTTTGTTACTATTTTGAAGGTCAATTGACCATTATAAAGTATGTTGATTTTTGAATATGAGGAACAAGAAATTCTTTGTCTTTTCATTTAAAGTGATACATTCAGAATATAAGAAGCAAAAATTCTTTTTGCAAATACATGTTATGCTTTTATTGGTATTGTATAACACCGAGTATGAATAAGTATTTACCCAAAGAAGTCCCATTCCATTTTTTCATCTATTCCTTAATCTTTTCAATTAATTTATTTAGGGAATGAAGCTCATTTTTATCATTTACA